AGGACTATTGTCCACATTATTCCATGGAATATTTTTTAAAATAATACAAAGAATCATTGCAGATAAATTAAGGATACATCCTTTACTTTCAGTCATAGTATTGGGTATCCAAAACTCATTCCATGTTATGAAATGCACCAAGGTGGGTAAGCAGCCTACAGCCTATGGGCCAAATCAAGGCCACCACCTGTTTTTACAAGTAAAGTCTTATTGGAATACAGCTATGCTCATTTGTTAATATATTACCTGTAACTGTTTTTGTGCTGCAAGCGCAGAGTTAAGTGGTTGCAGTAGAGACCCGTATGTTCCCTAAGCCTAAGATAATTACTATCTGGCCTTTACCAAAAGAGTATGTTGGCCCTGTACTAAGAGAGCAGACTATGGTTTGAAGAGCGTCAAAGGACCAAGTAAAGACCAAGGAAAAGCGCAGAGTTCTTGTGTAGACAGTTCTATAGCTTTAGAATTACATTGATGTTTTATGGAAAAAGACATGTATGAACGTTTTTGTTCATTAGTTCAGCCTCCCAAAATTGACAATCCATTTTGGATGCCATTCAGTTATATAGTTAATTGCATACTAAGATACGTCGTCAGTGCAACTGAAGTAATTTTAGCACATGGTACATAGCGTGCATGGATTTAAACACATCTTCTGTGATATGTTTTGATTCACATCCCACTGCTATGGAATTGTGTGATCTTTGGCAAGTTTCTTAACCTTTTTTAAAGCCACTTTGTATCATCCAGGAAAAGGAATGAAAAGCATGTTGTCTGGCATACAGAAAAGATGAGTGAACACCTCAATAAATGTTAGCTCCTGTTTTATTTTCTTGTGTATTTGAGGAATGATATATTTTCCAAGTATTTTTTTCTTTCGTTTGATAAATACATACTCTAAATAAATTACTTGTCTTTTGCTTCTGTGGTCTTTTTAAGAATTTCTTTGGTCTATTACTGTGTATCATACTAATACAAGCAGACTTTTTTCAGTTGGAAACCACAAAGTGAAGTGATAAGTAGTTTAGTTGGTTCTCCAAATTCAGAGTGTTAATCAGAAGAGTCTTACAATTAGCTCATCACTTAAAAATATTAATAAAAAATCTGTCTAAATGTAATGAATGTGGTATCTTGAATTGGCCCTAGAATAGAAAAAAGAACATTAGTGGAAAAAGTGGTTAAATTAGAATAAATTCTGTGGCTTAGATATTACTGTCCTAACATTAATTTCTCAGTTTTGACAAGAACACTATGGTTATGTGAGATGTTACTGTTAGAGAAAAACAGAACTCTCTCTGCTGTCTTTGCAACTTCTCTGTAAATTCTAAAGTAATTTCAAAATAAGGTGTTTGTTTAAAATTTTTTAATTAAAATAATAAGCACACATTTTTGGAATGCATGCTATGTGTCAGATATTACTTTCAGCAACTCTTTGAAGAAGATGGCATTCTGTCTTGTCCAAAGGTTACAGTTAGTATGTGACATGTGGTGTGTTCCAGTTATCAGAGAGATTCATTCAAACTATGTTCATTGAATATCTTCTCTGTTTCAGTTGATATAAAGTAGTAAATTCTGCCCTTATTGAGCTTAGAACTTCATCAGGCTCTTAGAGCTGCTCTTGTGCCCCCCTACCCCACGACAGTAAAAAGGTGTGTAAGGTACTGTGTTAGAGAAATAGATCAATTTAGTTCTAGTTAGAAATGTATGCTGAGTAGCAGGAAATAGGTTATTGGAGCAGGAAACTTGTGAGTGACTGACTGTTCTCTCCTGAGAACATTAGATGAGGGGGGAGATGGACAAGAACATGAAACAATGGCATCAGGTTATGTGGGGAGGATTGTGGAATCTGAGCACAAGGAACTTGTTATTCTCAGTGTTTGGCCTATAAGTTGGTGCTCAGTTCATGTTGAATGAATAGGACAGTATTAGGTTTTCATTTTCTCTGAAGTTAAGGAAATGGCCTATATCACCTCAAAAAACCCTTCAAGAGTTTGCGGTTGTGAGATGCTGTATTTTCAGTTTTCTGGGTGATGATATAGGAAGTAATTGACTTTCCTGTGGGGGGAAAAAAGTAACAGTATAAATGGTAGGCAGGAGTAATAGTAGAAACTTTCAGACCTTGTGTCATCTAGATTACTTCTAATAAAAAACTTTTCATGGGAAATTTACCTTGTTTTCTTCATGGAAAGGTTTCTTTTTTCATAAGATTAAGACTCTAAGTTGTAATGGATCTTTTATGCAAAAATAGTAACATGTAAACAGAACTTGGATCTTAAAAGTGAATTGATTTATATTTGAATTCTTATTAATGAAGCATGTTACATTTCTGGCAATAGTTTTAATATTGTATTTATGTTTCCTAATAGTTCTCTAATTTCAGTGCCCTAGGATATAGCAGAACATAACCACTTAGCTGTGGCTGGGCCTGTGTTAATAGATTTTTTTTTTTCTTTTGACCACACCAGACAGCTTATAGGATCTCATAGTTTATGGGATTGAACCATGGCCACAGTGTGAAAGTGCTGAATCCTAACCACTAGGCCACCAGGGAACTCCCGGTAGATTATTTTCTTTAGTAGAGGTCCTAATTTTCTTATCTTACATTTGCTTATGCCATAAATATTAAAATTTGATCTAAGAAGTATTTTTTTGGAGGGCGGGATAACAAGATCATGGCAGGTTATAAAGTACAATGAGAAGTAAGGTGTTCTTAATGACAGTGCTATTTTTAGAATTTATTTTATTATTGGATGTTTAGCATCCAAATTCCAGGAACTGTTTTCTCTTTTTCCCCCAAATCCATTTGGTTGCCATGAACATTGGAGCTATGGTTCCAGAGGGAAAAACAGAGATGGAAAGAATCAAAAATTTGGCAGTACCTGTAGTGAAGACATTACTGAAGAGAATAATTCTTACAGTTTGTAAAGGGAAAAAAGCCTGGGACAGCACTGGAATGTTCTGATTTTTTATGATAGTTTTAGAAGATTGAAATGGATTTGGAAGAAAAGTAGAGTAAGAATAGTTTTAAATTTTTTGTTAGATCATAGTCCTTGAGGCCAAATTCTAATGACAAGTGGAAGTAAATCATTTCTGGTATACAAAAAAAAATGGAGCTTTTTTTTTTTAACTTTATTTTCTTTTTGGCTGTAATGGGTCTTTGTTGCTGCAGGGGCTTTTCTCTAGTTGTGGGAGTGGGGGCTTCTCCCTGCGGGGGCTTCTCATTGTGGAGCAGAGGCTCTGGGGCCACAGACCTAGTAGTTGTGGCTCACAGGCCCTGGCGCACACAGGCTTCAGCACTCGTGGCCTGTGGGCTCAGTAGTTATAACTCTTGGGCTCTAGAGCACGGGCTCAGTTGTTGTGGTGCATGGGCTTGGTTGCACCTCGGAATGTGAAATCTTCCTGGACCAGGGATTGAACCCGTGTCCTCTGCATTGGCAGGTGGATTCTTACACACTGTGCCACCGGGGAAATCCCAGTGTTCATGTCAATCTTTCCTTGGAAACACCAGTCTTCTTAGTTTGGGGGACATTTGATTACCCTCCAACTTCAGCATTCTGATGGATTCAAAACAAAATTGAGAATTTGGCATTTCGCTTTTTTGTAGTTGGAAGATTGAACTCTTTGTGATACTCTGTCTAGCTCTCATTATATCCCCAAAGCTATAGCTTTATTTTAAAGTTCTTTTGCATTTTAGGTGATTAATAGTGTTTGTCCTCCAAGAAAAAGATAATTACCTCTTGCTCTTATGTTAGTGCTTAGTTCATACTTAACATTACTGTATTTATCACATTATACTGTAGTTATTTGTAATACATTATTTGTATATCTGTCTTTACTCTTAGCACACTGCTTGAGGTAAGCAAGATCTGTATCCTCTGGTGCTTCTTGATCAATGGAAGACATTTGATACATACTTATTTGTTTTTTGTGGCAAAAGCAAGTTTATTGAAGAAAGAACAGAAGGAGCACCTGAAGGGAGGGGTGGCCAAGCCAAGAGAGGCACTGGCTGATACATACATGCTGAATAGAATTATACCAAGATTTTCATTTTCATTTTCATAACGCAATCCTGGTATATTGTAAAATGCTGAGTAACTGTTTGTTGATTAATTTATGAATAAAAAGGCTTATTCAGATGACTGGTGGCTCAGTGGTAAAGAGTCTGCCTGCCAATGCAGGAGATGTGGGCTCAATTCCTGGGTCGGGAAGGTCCTCTTGAGTAGGAAATAGCAACTGACTTCAGTATTCTTGCCGGGGAAATCCCATGGACAGAGGATCCTGGGGGGTTGCAGTCCATGTGGTCTCAGAGTCAGATACGACTGAGCATTTGGACAACAACAACAAATGATACTTATAAATTGAGTTAATTTATGTTTTCCAAGATTTCCAGATAGTTTGAAAAAAAAAAACAGTTCATTTTAAGATGGCCAATGGAAATGTGCTGTGTGACTTGGGATGAAATGGGGGCTCTGTAACAACCTAGAGGGGTGGGAAAGGGTGGGAGGTGGGAGGTGGGAGGGACGTTTAAGAGGGAGGGGACATATGTATACCTGTGGCTAATTCATGTTGATGTATGCTAGAAATCAAACCAATGTTGTCCTCCGGTAAAAAATAAATAGAAAAAAATTGGTTCATTTTAAAAGTCTGATTAAATCATTCCTGCAATTAAAAATCTTGCTGTTATTCAGATAGAAGATTGAGTTGCATGAATTAATCATTAGTTATTTAACAGATATTAATGGAATTGAATTATTTTGTGCTCCTGATGACTTTTTGATTTTTATTGTTTAGCTGAGAACTTTAGAGTAGTGGCTGATAAATTACTACATTTGTTTAGTATGTTTTTGAAATTCATTTGGGCTAGCTGTCACTGAAAGAGTGAAATAATGTTATCTTGGCAGTATTTAGAACTATATTAGCTTCAGAATAATTTTAGTCTTTTTGTAGGTTTTAAGCAAGCAAATAAAATACTTTTTTTCCCACTCTGACTGCATCTTTTCTAGATCAAATTTTCGCCAGTAGCTAAAAAGTTATTCATGGTAACTGCAGTGAGTGCTGTATCTGTAATTTTTCTGGCCCATCACTTTAAAAGAAGACGTGGAAAAAAGAAAGGAAAGATGTTACCATGGGAACCAGAGCACCTCATACTTGAATACACTAAAAGAGCAGCATCAGACAAAGGTATGTAGAAATAGCTGAATTAAGTCTACAAAGGAAATTTTATATGTACGTCATTACTGGAGTGCAGTAATTTCAGTGTTTTAGTTTCTAAAATTTCCTTGCTTAATATATAACAGAGCATGGCCCTGCCCATCAGAACAATTTGCCCCCAGTCAGTTTCAGTTTACCCAGTTTCCCCCTCAGTCAGTCTCTTCCATCAGGCAGCTTCTAAAAGCCTCTTATCCTTCTCCATCAGAGGGCAGACAGAATGAAAACCACAGTCACAGAAAACTAACCAAACTGATCACATGGACCACAGCCTTCTCTAACCCAATGAAACTATGAGCCATGCTGTGTAGGGCCACCCAAGACAGATGAGTCATGGTAGAGACTTCTGACAAAATGTGGTCCACTGGAGAAGGGAATGGCAAACCACTTCTGTATTCTTGCCTTGAGAATCCCACGAACAGTATGAAAAGGCAAAAGGATAGGACACTGAAAGATGAACTCCCAGGTCAGTGGGTGCCTAATATGCTACTGGAGATCAGTGGAGAAATAACTCCAGAAAGAATGAAGAGATGGAGCCAAAGCAAAAACAACACCCACATGTGGATGTGACTGGTGATGGAAGTAAAGTCTGATGCAATATTGCATAGGAACCTCGAATGTTAGGTCCATGAATCAAGGCAAATTGGAAGTGCTCAAACAGGAGATGGCAAGACTGAACACTGATAGTTTAGGAATCAGTGAACTAAAATGGACTGAAATGGGTGAATTTAACTCAGATGACCATTATATCTACTACTGTGGACAAGAATCCCTTAAAAGAAATGGAGTAGCCATCATAGTCAACAAGAGAGTCTGAAATGCAGTACTTGGAAGCAATCTCAAAAACGACAGAATGATCTCTGTTCATTTCCAAGGCAAACCATTCAGTATCACAGCAATCCAAGTCTGTGCCTGAGCCAGTAATGCTGAGAAGCTGAAGTTGAACGGTTCTATGAAGACTTACAAGACTTGCTGGAACTAACACTCAAAAAAGATGTCCTTTTCATTATAGGGGACTGGAATGCAAAAGTAGGAAGTCAAGAAATACCTGGAGTAACAGGCGAATTTGGCCTTGGAGTACAAAAGGAAGCACAAGTTAACAAAGTTTTGCCAAGAGAACACACTGGTCATAGCAAACACCCTCTTCCAACAACACAAGAGAAGACTCTACACATGGACATCACCAGATGATTAATACCAAAATCAGATTGATTATATTCTTTGCAGCCAAAGATGGAGAAGCTCTATACAGTCAGCAAAAACAAGACTGGGAGCTGATGTGGCTCAGATCATGAACTCCTTATTGCCAAATTAAGACTTAAATTGAAGAAAGTAGGGAAAACCACTAGACATTCAAGGATGACCTAAATCAAATCCCTTATGATTCTACAGTGGAAGTGACAAATAGATTCAAGGCATTAGATCTGACAGACAGAGTGCCTGAAGAAATATGGATGGAGGTTCATGACATTGTATAAGAGGCAGTGATCAAGACCATCCCCAAGAAAAAGAAGTGCAAAAAGGTAAAATGGCTGTCTGAGGAGGCCTTACAAATAGCTGGAAAAGAAGAGAAACTAAAGGCAAAGGAGAAAAGGAAAGATACACCCATTTGAATGCAGAGTTGCAAAGAACAGCAAGGAGAGATAAGAAAGCCTTCTTCAGTGATCACGGCAAAGAAACAGAGGAAAACAAAAGAATGGGAAAGACTAGAGATCTCCTTAAGAGAATTAGAGATACCAAGGAAACATCATGCAAAGATTGGCACAATAAAGGACAGAAATGGTATGGACCCAACAGAAGCAAAAGATATTAGGAAGAGGTGGCAAGGATACACAGAACTATACAAAAAAGACCTTCATGACCCAGATAACCACAATGGTGTGATCACTCACCTAGAGCCAGACATCTTGGAATGCGAAGTCAAGTGGGCCTTAGGAAGCATCACTGTGAAAAAACTTAGTGGAGGTGATGGAATTCCAGTTGAGCTATTTGAGATCCTAAAAGATGATGCTGCATAAGTGCTGCACTCAATATGCCAGCAAATTTGGAAAACTCAGCAGTGGTCACAGGACTGGAAAAGGTCAGTTTTCACTCCAATCCCAAAGAAAGGCAATGCTAAAGAATGCTCAAACTACTGCACAATTGCACTTATCTCACAGACTAACAAAGTAATGCTCAAAATTCTCCAAGCCAGGCTTCAACAGTACGTGAACTGTGAACTTCCAGATGTTCAAGCTGGATTTAGAAAAGGCAGAGAAAGCAGAGATCAAATTGCCAACATCCGCTGGATCATCAAAAAAGCAAGAGAGTTCCGGAAAAACATCTACTTTTGCTTTGTTGACTACACCAAAGCCTTTGACTGTGTGGATCACAACAAACTCTGGAAAATTCTGAAAGAGATGGGAATACCAGACCACCTGACCTGCCTCCTGAGAAATCTGTATGCAGGTCAAGAAGCAACAGTTAGAACTGGACATGGAACAACAGACTGGTTCCAAATCAGGAAAGGAGTAAGTCAAAGCTGTATGTTGTCACCCTGTTTATTTAACTTATATGCAGAGTACATCATGAGAAATGCCAGGCTGGATGAAGCACAAACTGGAATCAAGATTGCTGCTAGAAGTATCAATAGCCTCAGTTATGCAGATTATACCACCCTTATGGCAGAAAGGGAAGAACTAAAAGAGCCTCTTGATGAAAATGAAAGAGGAGAGTGAAAAAGTTGGCTTAAAACTCAACATTCAGAAAACTAAGATCATGGCATCTGGTCCCATCACTTCATGGCAAATAGATGGGGAAACAGTGACAGACTTTATCTTTTTGGGCTCCAAAATCACTGCAGATGGTGCCTGCAGCCAGGAAATTAAAAGACACTTGCTCCTTGGATGAAAAGCTATGACCAACCTAGACAGCATATTAAAAAACAGAGACTTTACTTTGCCAACAAAGGTCTGTCTAGTCAAACCTACGGTTTTTCCAGTAGTCATGTATGGATGTGAGAGTTGGACTATAAAGAAAGCTGAGCCCCAAAGAATTAATGTTCTTGAACTGTGGTGTTGGAGAAGACTCTTGAGAGTCCTTTGGACTTCAAGGAGATCCAACCAGTCCATCCTAAAGGAAAGCAGTCCTGAATATTCATTGGAAGGAATGATGATGAAGCTGAAACTCCAATGCTTTGGCCATCTGATGTGAAGAACTGATTCATTGGAAAACACCTTGATTCTGGGAAAGATTGAAGGCGGGAGGAGAAGGGGATGACAGAGGGTGAGATGGTTGGATGGTGTCACTGGCTCGATGGACATGAGTTTGAGCAAGCTATGGGAGTTGGTGATGGATGGGGAATCCTGGCCTGCTGCAGTTCCTGGGGTCGGAAAGAGCTGCACATAACAGCAACTGAACTGACTGAACTGAATATATAGCTCACTGTTAATACAGATTCATTTTAGACAGCTTAGATAGTACAGATAAGCAAGCAAGAAAAAATGAAAATCACTTGAAATTCTGCTACCCAGAAATAACTACTGATAATATTTTGGCATATATATATAGTCATTTATACTTGCATTTAAATATATTGAGACATAAAATTTTTATTATATACAAATAAATGATTTATATATTTTAAGTAAAATTCATACCTCTTGTAGCCTTTTCATATTTAATATTATGGGGGCTTCCCCGGTAGTCCACTGGTTAAGAATCTGCCTGCCAATGCAGAGGACATAGGTTTGATCCCTGATCTGGAAAGATTCCACATATGTACAGCAGCTAAGCTCAGTAACTTTTGACCCCGTGTCCCAGGAGTCTGTGCTCTCCTTAAGAGAAGCCACCACAATGAGAACCTGTGCACCGCAACTAGAGAAAGCGCGTGCACAGCAATGAAGACCAAGCAGCCAAAAATCAATCAATAAATCTTAAAAAATATATATAATATTATGTAAGAATGTCTTTAAATGTCAATAGATATATCTCTATGCTATCATTTTTTAATATATGTTTAGTGTACAGATGTGCTTTACTTTTTTAACCAGTTCCCTGTTGTATTCTTTAGGTTATTTTTCTTGCTTTGCATATACTTACCTGATTATATCCTAGGTTTATAAAGTTCTAGAAGTAGAATTGCTGGCCTTTAAAAAAATCTGTGTTTTTTTTTTTTTTTTTTTTAAGATAGGGTATTGTAAAGTAATTAGCCTCCAACTAATAAAAATAAATGGAAAAAAAATTGAAAATAAATTACCACTATAGAAATCTAAAAAAAAAAATAAAATAAGATAGGGTACATATTATCCAGTAGTAGCAATTGAAATAATTTCTTGAGCGTACTGGATTTATTCTTTATATTTTACATTATTTTTTATTTGTTAATTTAGCGTATGTGCTTGTGATTTGTTGGCATAGCAAGTAATGAATGACTGTTTTGTGACAAGTGTTGTGAACTTTACAACAATAATGATGCCTTTCAGGTTCAATCCCTATGTTGGGAAGAACCTCTGGAGAAGGGAATGGCAACCCACTCCAGTATTCTTGCCTCGAATATCCCATGGATGGAGGAGCCTGGCAGGCCTCAGTTCATGAAGTTGTGAAAAGTAGGACATGACAGTGACAAACACAGACTTACTGAAGTTTTTATTAGATCTTAGGTGCAGTGTGGACATGCTGTAAATTCACTGTGTTTAAAATAGCCTTTATAACAATCCTGTGAATTAGGACTATAATCCTATTGAGATATGGAAAAGTTAAGTGACTTGCTCAAGTTCAGATAACTAGTAAGTGCCAGGATTTGATTTGAGAAGTTTAACTGCTATATTAAGATAAACTAAAACACAGCATCTGCCTGAGATGAATGGGTAGATGGTTAGGGGTGACAGATGTATAAAAGACTCAGATAATGTGATATGGATAAAGTTTTGAGGTAATTCAGGAAAGAATATAAGAAGTGCTTATATTTTGTTAAGTTTATAATTTGAAGGTTCATAGTTGCCAATATTTTTATACTGATTGTACAGTAGACCATTCAGATACCACCTTAATTAATTAGATGCATGTTTTAGTCTTCATTTCAGAAGCAGTGTTAAAAATGTTATTTAGAGATGTAGATTTTAATAATGGTATGATACACTTAATAATTTACACAATTAGGGGAATTATATTTTAAAATGAGCCCTCTGAATAAATATATAAACTTTGAAATTTTATCTGAAATTTATCATTGGGGTTATTGATACTTTTAATCTGTTTGTTTGGTAGGTTCAAGTTGTTCCAGTAGCAGACAGAATTTGACATTATCTTTAAGTTCTGCCAAAGACAAAGGATCTCAGTCTTGTAACTATGCTAATGGAGGACTCTTCAGTAAATACTCAGGTTCTGCACAGAGTTTAGCCTCTGTAAGTAAACATTTTATTAATTTTTTCTTTTAATTTTATTTATATATCTATCATTATATATTGTTTTAAATGTCATACAATTAGATAGCTTTTAGTATGGAGAGAACCTGAAGAAATCTGGTTGATCTTGTTTTCTTCAGACAAGTAAAATTACCTTTTTGTGAAATATTCAGCCAGCTTGGTTCCAGGTTTTTCTGAGTCAGGTAATGTGATCCTCTGGGGTCCTGTGAGGATGGTGTTGGTATGGAAGTGTTGCTTCAAAGCTAGATATTTTACAAAAAGCTAGAAGATGCAGCCAAACATGGTACCAGGTTACAGAAACTGCTTGACGAACCTGCTTGTGTAACAGCACTCGGCTTGCTGAAGCCAAGTGTGGAGTCTTTCACATCTTCCTTTACACCATTAACAGTGTTGATTGACAGGTGAAGAGTAAACTTAGTATTTATTTAAATATAATATAGCTTAAAAGTTATTTTACAAAACAGGTAGGATATGCACTTGCTACTAAATAATGCACATGAAAAATGTGCTCCTAATCTTCTCAATTCCCCTCCTTAGAGATGAACACTAACAGTTTCTTATGTGTATTCCAGGGAGAATAGACCTCTAACATCATGTATATTCATTTAAAAAATAGTTTATAGAATACTATAATCTGTTCATACCTTGCTTCTGTATTTCATTGGAACGTATAGCTGCTTCTTTCTTAGATTCCTAAAAATATATCACATTTTAAAGGCTCTTCTGTTGTGCTGTGCTGTGTTGTACTTAGTCTGGCTCTTTCGACCTCTTGGACTGTAGCCCACCAGGTTCCTCTGTCCGTGGGAGGAACATTTAGATCAAAGACATGCCCTTTCAATTCCTCTGGGAAAACTGTAGGATAACGAAGTATATGCCCATTCTATAATCTGAACCTCCTCTGTGTCAGAGAGGTACCTCTCTTTTAAATTTTCTCAACTGAAAATTGAAGCTGTTCTTGACTAGAGAAAAGGAGTTTTATGATAACAGTATAAATAATTAGTCTTTAGAATCACTTTGCTCTCTGTGCCTTAGCTGACCTACTTACTTACTCCGCTGGCAGGACTGTGAACCCAGATTTCTGCCTCTTAATGAGTGTCTGAGCGAGAGTCATGACAACAGGAGTAGAAAAGGAGGGGACAGGGTCCACAGGACTTGATAACTCGATGTGAGAGGTGTGGGAAGAGGAGTTAAAGATGACTTCTTGTTACCTGGTTTGAGAAGGTATATAGATAAAAGTAATTGTACTGAACTTGGGAGGAGTTTTTGTTGTGGGAAGATGCAGAGCTCTTTTTTCATATTATCAGTTTGAGATGCCAGCAGAAGAGCCATGTGGAGTCACCAAATAGGCAGGTGGAAATGTGAGCTTAGATTTCTCAAAAGAGGGCAGAATTGAAATTCAAGGTTTGGGAGTCTTTGCAAAGAGGTGACAAATGATTGGCTCAGCAGACCTTGCTAAAGAAGGAAAGATGATAGAGGCTTTTTGATTTTCATTATTACAGCAGAAAATCAGCATTACAATAAGTTCTGAAAGGAAAGTAAGCTAGTTACCTCAAAGCTAAGTAGGTGTGGGTAAAATTTATAAGTAAATACTTAATGATAGTAAACTATAAAAATAGCTGCTTGAATTTTGATGGAAATAAATTCCCTGGTGGTTGAATGGTAAAGACTCTGCCTACAGTGCAGGAGATGCAGAGATGTCGGTTTGATCCCTGAGTTGGGAAGATCCCCTGGAGAGGGAAATGGCAACCCACTCCAGTATCCTTGCCTGAAAAATACCATGGACAGAGGAGCCTGGCGGGCTACAGTCCTTGGAGTCCGAAAAGAGTTGGACGCGACTGAGCGACTAAACAACAATAACTGGTTTATGTTCAAAATACTGTTCTACATGTATAATTTTGAGCAAACATGCGTTCAGAGTATTTAGGGTCTTATGAATTCTAAGTTTGATTGAGTATAATCAGGTTAATTTCTTCAAGTTGAAAACCCATGGGTTGTTTTACCAGGACTAGGATTTATGTAAATAATTTATAAATATAAAAGAAAACAAAATACTGTTATAAAAGAGATTTTGAAGTAACTTCTGTCCATCTCAATTTTAGGTCCAGAGTGTCAATTCTTGTCATAGCTGTGCTTGTGGGAATTCTAATTCCTGGGACAAAGCAGATGAAGATGACATTAAACTTGTTAATATTCCTGTGACGACTCCTGAGAACTTATATTTGATGGGTAGGAATAACATAATAAAGGTTTAAGATACTGTACTCACATGTAATGTGAAAATGAAAAATGATAAATTTTTATAAGGGAAGCAACTGTAATTCTAAAATGTTCTCATATCTGTTGACTTCAGTCTACATAACATAACGTGTTGTATTAGTTTTCTGAGGCTGCTATAGAAACTACCACAAACTTGGTGGCCTAAAACGATAGAAATATACTCTTTTGGAGTTCTGGATGCCTGAAGTCTGAAATCGTTATCACGGGACTGAAGTCAAGGTTCGTTTGGGCCGTGTTCCCTCTGGAGTCTTGGAGGAGAATTCAGTCGGTGCCTCTTGCAGCTTCTGGTGTCACTTGAGGCTTGTGGCCACGTGACAACAACCCTTGCCTTCCTCTTCGCTGTGTGTTTCAGATCTCCCTCTGCCTCTCTGTTATAAGGATGGTTGTGCTTGGATCTAGAGCCCATCAGATAATCTAGGGTAATCTCCCCATGTTAACATTCTTAATCACACCCACAAGGACTGTTTTTTCTTACATGGTAACATTTACACGTTCCAGAGACTAGGAACCATCTTTGGGTGGTCATTATTCAGTCTGTTACACTCTCCTAACCTCATCTGTTGACTTCTATCTAATGAATATATCAAAATGCACTGAAAGTAGCCTTTTATCTCACTATTATTTGTATTCTTCCTATATTTAGGAAGGATTTTACATAGAAAGAGGCCTGTGTTTACAGCTAGAACATAAGGATGTCTAGAAAGTTTCACTGGAGCCCAGGAAGAGGACCAGAGTCCTTCATACTGAATCAGACTCAAATACTTTTTCAAATCCTTGCCTGTGTTCCTCTGTACTCTATTTCAGGCTATATTCCTTTTAAGGGAAATGCATGCTAACTGAAAAATAAAACCAAAAAAGTCTTGTGATCCTAGCCAGTAAGCAGTAAGTGGGTGATGAGTTGGCAGAAGGACTGTGTGCCTTCCCCATGCTCTAGAATCAACCGTTAAAGATGCTGTCATCTGCGTGGTGTTACGCTGGGTGCTCCTGCCCTTGGGGAAGGATGTAAGAATAGTTCTGCTACCTTTTCCGAAGTCTCCCAAGAATTAAGCTCACTGTGCTTCTAGATTTAACTATACCGAGTAAACCTACTTTGGCCTCTTCGTAGGACTATTGAGAGAGTTGAAGAGAAATAGAGCAAAGCTAGAGAAGCTGTAGGGAGTCTCAGTGTTATAGAATTAGGATTGTTAGGAAATACTGTTTCAATTCTCTTACAAAATTGCTGATATGTGACAGTTGGGCCATGTTCTGTAGTGAGGTGAGACACAGTACTTCCTGAGAGACACCTTTTCTCTTTGGGCAACTCTGGAGTTAAATAATTCTTCCTTATATTTAACCAAAATAATCGGAGGGGCAGAGAGGGGATGGAGTGAGAAAAGGATGAAGGAATGAGAATTACGTAGCTTAGAAAAAGGAAGTCTTTTAAGTGTATAAATTTTTTTAAAAGGAAGATCCAGGCAGTGATTCTTTCTACAGAAAATGAAACAAAGGAAAAGCCTACATTTCATTTACAGAACATTTTATTTGTTTAGAGTAGTAGATTCTCTAGATAACCGAAGAAATGATTTTTGAGGACAGGTGTTCTGTTAACTGCTGGAGAAGGGAATGGCAGCCCACTCCAGTATTCTTGCCTGGAGAATCCTTATGGACAGAGGAACCTGGCAAGCTGCAGTCCATGGGGTTGAAAGAGTCAGACACGACTGAGTGATTAACACACATTTTCTTAACTACCGTATCTTAAAAACATCTTGGGAATGACTTGGCCAGATTCTTAAGCAGCTTTTAAAGATCTTTTACTTTTATATGTCTAGAGAAATTGAGCTTTTGAAATATTTTGGTTTTGTTTGAAGTACATAATTATTTTGGTAAGCTTTTTTTTTTTTTTAAATTTGAAGAAAAAGAGGCACATAATCACTTGTTTCTTCCACAAAAGCTTTCTGTAAGCAGGGATACGAAATTCCTACTTGGACGGTAACCTTTTATGGGTTCTTCTTGTTTATTTTTAACTCTGGTCCAGCACTTTATCCATCCAAGTCAGCAAGTTGGTGTCATAGTGGATTAAGACACATTTTGGTGGAAAAAAGATAGAAAAGACATTATTCTAGACTTCTGTGCTATTATTTTTCTTCTTAGCTTTGCTTTCTTCTTCTGAAAGCCTCTTATAAACCCTGTAGTTTCTTTTCAATTAGTTTTTCTCTTTGCCTATCAGTTTTTAATTTAGAGGGATATTTTGAAAGATAGTTCTGTGACTATGAAAATTAGCTATTGTTGGGACTTTTGATGAATTCATGATATTGTTTTGGAAAAATTCCAATCACTGTATACATTTGACTTACTAGTTTTTAAAAAGGAAAAACACATCAGTCATTTCTCCCTTATTGTTGGTTGACTGAAACTGTAGACCTGGAATATATTAGGATATTAAGATTCTACTAAGGAGGACTTACTGGTGGTCTGGTGGTTAAGACTGTACACTTCCACGGCAATTAAGATCCCATAAGCCGCATGGCATGGCCAAAAAAATATTAAAATTGTTCTGTTCTTAATTTTCAGGTATGGAATTGTTTGAAGAGGCATTGCGTCGATGGGAACAAGCTCTAACCTTTCGAAACAGACAGGCTGAAGATGAAGCCTGTGGTTCCATTAAACTGGGTGCAGGAGATGCCATTGCAGAAGAAAGTGTGGATGTAAGGGTGACTTATTTGGGAGTGGTCTTCATAATATTGGAAAAAATTAACTATTTTTAATGTTGATTCAGTGTCCTTAATTTTTGTGGCATTTAACAGAACTTTTTTTTTTTTTTCTCCTTTGAGATTTGTGTAGGGATATTTCTCACTGGGCTCTTCCTCTTCACTTAGTAGTTAAATCTAAAATTTGCAATTCATCATTTCATGATTTTCCAAGAATATATAGAATTAAGCAGATATGATTTCTGAAGGAATTTTTTAACTTGTGCTTTGTGCTTTGGGTTGAATTAAGTGCCATTATATTCATATAATCATGTAGAGCTAGACTGTTATTTATTGATCATCATCTAGGCTCATGATTTTCAAAGTTGAGCATGCATCACAAGCCTCTGAAAGGCTTATTAAAAAACAGACTTGGGGGCCCCACCTCCAGAGTTTCTAATTCACTTCTAATTTGTATTTCTAATAAGTTCCCAGGTAATACTGATGCTCCTGATTAGGGACCTTACTATGAGAACCCCTGATCTAGTCCAGCTTATACAGAGTACGAAATGGAGATGATTCTATGTGAGGCACAGCCAGAACTCAGGCCCCCTGACTTCTATTGCAGTATTCTCACCACCCAACCAGTAGTTTTTTAAATGACATTCCTCACTTTTCTTTCATTTAAAAGTGGAAAATGTGTAGAATTTTAACATTAGCATCTAATACTTGCTGTGTGTATGTGTTCTCTCCTTGTAGGATATTATTAGTACTGAATTTATCCATAAACTTGAATCTCTGCTGCAAAGAGCCTATCGTCTGCAAGAGGAGTTTGAAGCTACCCTGGGGGCATCTGATCCTAATTCCCTTGTTAATGATACTGGTGAGGTGGTTATTTTATGTGGTTTTTATGGAATGTGTCATTTTATTCTTTTATATTCTTGAAATCATTTGCTAAAGTGTATTAATATGGTTACTACTTTTTAGAAAATAGCCAAGAGATAAACAGTTCTATCATATTTATTGGTTTTTCTCCTTTCAGTTTAACTTTGCAAGTGAACTTACTGATACAAATTCAAGTACTTACCATACATAGGATTGTAACATTATTTGAAAATTACATTCCAAGTGAAAGAATCCCAGTTAAAGTGGAAAAGGTGGAAAAGTGTTGGAGGGTGGAAAAAAATAATAATGTGAGAGAGAGACACACTACCTCAGACATGGTCATGTAGTTCATGACTTACATTTGAAGCATTTTAAGTAATTCTATTTCTTGTCCCTGTTTCAGTTGCAGGCTACATTTTGATGTACGTAGTCAGTACATACATTATCATATACCGTTACCTTTGTTTCCTACTTTAAAGGGAAAAGAACTTTGAGTAGACTTCTCAAGTGAAGTCTTCCAAGGAGAAACGATTAAAACTGCTTTTGGGAGTAGTTGTTAGGATTCTGGGCTTTCACTGTGATGGCTCAGGTTCAGTCCCGGTCAGGGAACTGAAGGCTGCCCAGCACAGCTAAAAAAGAAAAAAGAGAGAAAGAGACAGACAGAGCAAGAAAAAAAAACTGCTTCCTTAACTGTCTTAAAAAATCTTTCATTAGACTTGAGTGTTTTTTAATAGTTTTTCTGCTCTTGCCATAGGTATAAAATTTTGACATATATAGATTATAGGCCAGAAAAAAATAGATAATATTCATGTCAACAAATAGAATTTGTCAAAGCTTTCTTTATATATATATATATATAGATAGATATTTATACAATTTTTTCATTTGTAACTTATTAGGATGGTATTTGTGACAATAAGTTGGGAAAAGAGCAAAGAGAAGGATTTCTTTGAAGAAATCAGATGTAAAAGTGGGAATGGAGCAACTAGAAAAGGTAGCAAGTGGATAAGCAGCAAAGAAAGGCACAGAGAAGAAGTAGGAAAAAATTATAAATATGAGGAAGGGGGCCTGAGACTATTCATGCTTTATTTTAAGAAAGTTGTATTTGCCCTCACTGTTCTAATCTTCTGCTTGTAGTTTCTGTCTGACCTCTTGATAAGGATCAGGTAGATGTTTGCTGTATACTTATTAGTCTCCTAGTATGCGTCTCAGATTTTGTTCTGTTTGGCATGCCCAGAGTTTCTTTTTTCTACTAATCATAGCAGTTGGTGGAATCCATCTCTCATTTCTTCAGGTTATCAGTTATAAAAGGTTTTTGGGGGTACTGCTCAGAGGGTCTGTGTTGGGTTTTCATTGCATCTGGACAAGAAGACCTCTAGGCAGATGGCTTGGTTTCTGGGACTTCAAGTTGTTTCTGAGGAATTGTTGTTAATTTGGATCTCTAAATGGGTAGGATTTCTAGTGTGGGACCCATAATCAACCCATCCATTCGGTTAGCTTAGGTTTGTAATAAGTTCCTGACCCCACCCATGTCTTAACTTGAGCTGTCAACGACTATTTGGCTGGCTGGCTTTTCCTTTTCTCTGCAGCCTAACAGTGCCTTGGCCTGTTATTGCCCTGGAGACTCCAGTTGACATGATACTGTTATATTTTGTTCCTTCTTGGGAATTATTTGAATATCATGTTATTGCAAGTTTCCATTTTGGAACTTCTGGATTGAAAGAGCTGAATCTATGGCCAGAACTCCAGTAAGGGAGTACTTCTGTTATATCTGTTATTTGCTATTAATCAGGATTGCTCAGAAGTCATTTAACTAGCCTCATCACCTAAATCCAAATTCATTTTTCACACTTGATATATCTTGATGAGAGGCAACTTATTAATAGTCATAAATAAAGGGAGGTTAACAAATGCCTTCAGAAACTCAGGGGTGAACTTAAACCAAGTATTGATCTGACGTCAGTGAGTACTTTATTGTTTTGGAATTTGCTTTGTCTTATTGATAAAAATTAATTTTTTTTCCTTGCTAAGAATTTGATAGGTTTTCAAGGTTGGAAGATTTTTTTTAGCAGCAGTCATCTAATTCATCTCCTTTCCCCTGAACTTAATATCTAATAAATACCATTGTCTGCATGTCATGTTCTAGGCTCTTTGCTACGGCCCATAGTTCCTTTTCTGGGTCAGGCACAATTCTGAGTTAAAAACCATCTCGCTTAGTCCTCACAGCAGCTTTTATGAGGTAATTATAATTATCCTCCTCATTTTTCAGATGGGGAGAGAGGTACACAGGTGTTAAGTCACTTCCCCAGAGTTACCCAGGGATAAAGTGACAGAGCTTAGACTTGGACCCGGACAGCTGACTCTGGGGTCCAAAAGCCTCCGTGCTGTATTGCCTCACCACTTAGAAGACAGGTGTGTTCTTTGGATTGGAAGACTGACTATGAACTCTTGGTGGCATAGTTCCCTGTTAAGAAATGTTGTTTTGAAGCTTGTAGTCTAGAATCGCCACAGCTGCTGAAGTAAGGAACCTTATTTCTGGTAGTGGTATCATTTATTTTGTGGGGCTCTTCTTTTCCTAGAAATTGATTTCTTTCTCCATATCTACCTGGGGATCTGAAGTTAACTCAGGTGTCTTTCCTCCTCTCTTAGGCTCTCAAGGCAGTCTAGAGAGATTTCACTCATTTTATAGAAGGAAGTTGTCAGGGTCTAATCCAGGAACTGATAGAGTGAACTGCTCTATTTAACTGAAGGAACAGGGGGAGAGGGCCCAACTGTGCCAACTGAATTTAGTGTATTGCCTTAATAAGCTACTCTAATGGATTACCTTTTGGCCTTCATCTGTGTAATGACTAAAAACACAGATTGTAGATTCAGACTGACGGAGTCCAAATTCTGGGTTCACCATTTATTATTTATGTAATTATATAACTTTTCTAAGCCTCAGCTTCTTCATCTGAAAAATGGATATATCTTATTTATTTAACAAAATAATTATGAGAATTAAATTATATAACAAAGTCCAGGGAACAGGGTAGCAGTATTTATTGGCTTGGAGTTTGAAACTTCTCTAACACACCGAGGAAGATGGTTTTTGCCTCTAGGATAATTGGGCTATGGTTTTTTAGGATCTGCTTGAAGCTCCATTGGCTAATTTCAAGGTATTCTTTAAAATTTCTGGTCTGGTAATACCTTTTCCATGTTTTCCAGTGATGCTGTTATTTTCTTCCTGTCCTTTTCTTTTCTTTGGTTGCACCATGTGGCTTGATTGAATCCATACCCTTGGCAGCGCAATTGGGGAGTTCTAACCACTGGACCTCCAGGGATCCTACCCTTTTTAATGGGCCTTTAGAAAGGAGAAGTAGATGCTTATGCTCCATCATACTGAACAAGAAATTCTGAACATTATAATTACGGAGCCTAAGGACTATATTAGTTTTGGGGGTTTTTTGGTTTTGTTTTTAGGTTTATGTATTTTTGGCTGCTCGCGTGGGCTCCTCTAGTTGCCGTGAGTGGGCTCCTCTAGTTGCCGTGAGTGGGGACTACTTCTCATTGTGGCGGCTTCCCTTGTGGAACACGGGCTCTAGGGCGCCGGCTCCGTAGTTAATGGCTCACAGGGGTTAGTTGCCCTGTGGCTGTGGAATCTGCCTGGACAGGGATGGAACCCACGTTTCCCTGTACTGGCAGGCGAATTCTTAACCCCTGGACCACCAGGGAAGTCCCTGAGTTAAGTAACATTGCTAATGTTGAGCTAATGGTAAGCTGAAACTTGAGTTCTTTGTTGTTATTGTTAGATACCTTGTTTTTAAGTCACTTCTTCCCTCATCTGTTCCTGTGTAGCTGTTTCTTTGGACCCAAGCTTTTAGATGTTATGTTTATTTTTCCTATTCAACACTAAATTGTCACCTCTCAAGTCATCATCCTGAATTAAGATAGATTCAGATTTAGATTTGACATCCCTCTCAGTTTTGTATCACTTTCTCGTTTGTTCAGTTTGGTCATCTTCGTCATCAAGGGTCTCATTGAAACCATTAACAAAACATGTTTAAAGGAAAACTTGTTTCCCTTTATTTACAACTTTTGACACAAAATGAGTGGATTTTCCATGCCAGGAAATTCTCCAGTTCTCTGTGGACACCAGTTGGGGTGTCCTGCAATTCTCTTCAGTCAAACACTTAAATACCGAGTGTTAGTGCAGACTCCACAGGTTAAAGGCTTATCTCACAAGAGCGCCCCCCACTTATATGCCAGTCGCAAAGCCAAACCTCTCCTGCTTCTGACCAGTGTTTTTTCTATAAATCACAGGTCCCCACCAATCCCTCCTTAGGTTTGATAGTTTACTATTGATAGGATGGCTCACAGAATTTTGAGAAGCACTTTACTTTTTATTCCTCGTTTATTATGAAAGATATAATTAAGCAACAGTCAAGTGGAAGAGATGCATAGGGCAAGGTATGGGAAATGGGTGTGGAACTTTCATACCCTCTCCAGACACAGCGCTCTCCTTGCACCTGGATGTGTTCACCAACCTGGAGCTCTCTAAACTGTCGTGTTCTTTTGGAGGTTCCATTATGTCGGCACAGTCGATTGAGTCATCAGCTATTGGCGATTAACTTAATTCTCGGCCTTTCTCCCTTTAGGGGTCAGGGTTGGAGTTGAAAGTTCCAATTTTCTTTCTTTTTAATTTATTATTATTATTTTTGGCTGTGCTAGGTCTTCATTGCTACACAGGCTTCCTCTCTAGTTGTGGTGACCGGGGGCTGCTCTCTAGCTGTGATATTGTAGGCTTCTCATTGGGGTGGCTTCTCTTACGGACTGTGGGCTCTAACATACGCAGGCTTCAGTAGTTGCGGCTCCCAGGCTTGAGAGCACAGGTTTAGTAGTTGTGGCACACAGGCTTAGTTGCTCCGCAGCATATGAGATCTTCCCAGATCAGGGGTCAAACCCATGTCTCCTGCATTGGCAGGCCTATTCTTTACCACTGAGCTACTAGCGAAGCCC